TTCCCGTGTAACGTCGAAGAGGTCGGTGACCGACGACGCCTCCTAATCGACAAGCCACCACAGACTTGTCAACCGGAACCGGAATATGAAACTCTACTTTTGTACGGTTTCACTAGAGTCGTTTAATTTAAGGAAAAACAAAATTGAAATGTTTATGAACATGCAAAATGTTGACCACAAAACTGTCTTAAAGAGAGAAACATACTACGAAAATTTTGCAACTAAATGACGCAAGCGCTCCTGATTCATTAGAACAGTGGTTCTCAATGTTGGCGCAAGGCTCAGGTGGCAAAAATTTGTTGTAAATTTAGGGGGTGCCGGGACTACCAAAGAGGGCGGTGATGAATGGTATAACAGAAGTTTTTTGAAGGGGAAAAAAAGAATCTGTTTTCCTTTTCGGCATTAAAAATATTTGTGGAGAATGATTAGCGAAGAGATTACATATTATTATTCTAATGCCCCAAGACAATCATTCGATCTTTCAAGTGGCTGTTAACAACAAGACGTGTTGACTTTGTAAAGCGAAATCAACAGACAACCCTAGTAAATACATTTGAAAGAGTAGCCTCCGAATTATTTTTCAGCATATATTTACTGGACTCGCAGACATTAAAAAATGCATTCTGTTTATTTTCTCTAGGTATGTAAATATAATTTTTCTTGGAAATGTCTAAATCTTACCCTTTTTTTCTAATGAATAACAAAATACACATTTTTTTAAAAAAGTCTTTTTTCATAATAAAGTAATTTAATACTCCATTTTAACAGAGCACAAATTTACGAGGTGAAAATTAATGTAAAATACCAAATCCTACCTTGACCTTGGTACTACTTTCTGGAGCTTTGAATATGCCTTGGGTAGTTAGGCCATTCTTATGGATAAATTGAAGCAGCTAGAATGCAGGAAGTGAGATTTTGCATATTTTAAAATGTTTTATATATAACAGATATCATTTATATAAAAAAAAAATTTGTTAGATATAAAATAAATGAAAAATGTCGAATAATTCGTCAATTATTTCATCGTTTAAGTTATAGCTGGCTTTGTGGTGTTATTTTTTAATTTTGTTTTTAAAAAAAAAATTAAAACCAAACCAATCACGGCTAATGAAATAAATAAACTGCTATCTAAAAGCTCCACTATCAAGTTATCAAAAAATTAACTTTAAATCTAAATTAATGTAAATTAACATAACACAAAAACGTACCAAGCATAATAGAGAAGGAATTTTAAGATGTGGTCCATTATTCTTAAACGAGGTGTCTTTTTTCATGAGAAGATCCAGAGGTAAACCAAAGAGTTGGTCTTCTCTTAATTCTGTTAATTCTGAAAAGACGAAAAAAAAAAGAACTTAACTAAATAATAGTAGGCCTAGTTAGAAGAAGTTTTTTTATTGTCTGCTATTTGTGATGGTTTGAGACAAGACATTGAAAAATTCTTCCATCGTAAACTCGCCCTTGTAAAATAATACCCTCCTCTTCCCATTGCCTTTGCGGTATGATAACCCGAATCATCTCCCTTGTTATTGGATTCCGACGTGCGACAGCTCAAGCAAAATCATGATTTTGTATTTATCACCTCTCTCCCCTATAATGTTTCTAGGTGGAAGGTCGAAACCTTAAGATTAGACTGATTGTCACTGGATGTGAAAATAAACTTTCAATCCAACCTTTTAAAATCGTTCCCCAACTTCAATAAATAGCAGACACAGATTAGAATGTGTCCTTTTATGATCCTTTCACTTGGCCGTGAACGCTGTAGCCTACTAACTTAGGACATCATTAGCGTGATCAGTAGCGGCAACTTAGAATACTACCTGGTTGTATTCTTACTGAACCGACGCACCTTGAAGCTGGAACTAGGGGATCGTTTGTCATGTCTCACACCAAATAGCCTACGGCTAAGATAAGGACCGCGAGATTCAGGGACTCTTAACACCCACGATTTATCACTGGAGAGTCTACTCCCCCACTGCAAAGATTACACGAAACTCTTGGAACAAGAAGAAGTTGACGCCGTCTACGACCAGGAACGCCGTCTACGACCAGGAACGCCTACTTCGCTTCGCTTTGAAAAGCCCCGAAGACAGGAACGGAGGACACACTTCTGGAACGGAAGAAACTCCAAACCTTACTGGTCCGTCGAGATCAACTGAGATATTTTCTATGGCTAAGTCCACCTCGATTGAACATATGACCTTGAGCAAATATAACATTTATAATGATGATATTATCAGCATTTTAGGGACATTTATTATCAAATAACTTACATTCAAAATTTTGCTAAATTCCATTTTGTATATATTCTTTAACAAAGGTGTGAACTACAAAGTTAATGTAAATACCCGTCGTGAATAAATACTTGCAGTTATTCGCCCCTTTGACAAAGACTTCGTTTCAGTCTATATCAGGGGTCTCAAACTTGCGTCCGCAAGACGATATTTTGCGTCCCGGGACATGACAGCAAATTTAGTGTTAATGTGGCCCGCGTTGTTTCCCCATTCAGATATCTATAATGTGACCCTCCGCGACGGTTTCAGGTGAACCTCACTGACTAGTCTAATTCTGATATTTATTATGTTTGTATAGATTTGGACGTTGATTATAATAGTAAAACCCGTGTTAAAATCTGTCTAAAAGTGTTGAATGTGTAGCATGTAGCAATGTATGCAACAAACATGGCCATTGTGGTGTTTTGAGAAAACACGCTTAGAATATTTTACATACACATTTCAAAATTTTTAAAAAGTCAGTTAGTGGGCAATGCACATCCTTAATTGTGAACGTCGAGCTGACGCAGTATAAAAGAATCCCTATTAAACTTGCCGCTAATGTTTACGAGTGAGGGGAAATTCCGAACCTGTCAGCTTGTTCACTTGCGCTGTCAGGTCTCTGGCAACAAGCAGTAGGAGGAAGAAAGTGAAGCCTTAACGTGTTTGTTATCACTAAACGTTGAGCAGACTGTAACATTTTTACTTTATTGAATTGTAATTGTTTTTTTTTGTGTGGAATACTTGATGCGGCCCAGTTTCACTCAGACTATGCCTCCTGCGTCCCCCGGATGATTTGAGTTTGAAACCTCTGGTATAAAATTTATATAGATATGTTATTATGTTTGTGTGGTAATTTGGCTTAATTAAATGTATCCCCTAGACCAGAGTGACCAGAGAATATCTCATACGAGAGATACTTTTCAAAGCCAAAACACAATTCTAGTTCAGGTAGTGTTCGTTTCTGCATCCATCTACTGGCATATGGGCAACGGTTGGAGAGCGATGTTGCTATTCTAACAGCTCCTAGCAGATGTTAGAGCAGCCTTGAAGATTTCGACCGACGTCGAGTCCACAGCGGCATTGTCCAGGTGGTTCCAAGCAATTATTGTGCGTGGCAAGAATGATTGTTTATACTGCACTCTGTTGCACCGAGGCACGATGAAGCATTTGCTGTTGTTTCGGGTGTAATTGTTTATGGGGTTGTCAGTGGTGAAGTAAGTGTTCAGTGAGTGTTTGGCTATGATCAATCGACCGGACTTCTGTGGGATGAGGTACGTGCCTGTTGGGATGGCCGGTACCAGCCCCATGACCACTTTATATAAGAATATCAGGCGGGGTCCCTAATGGAGGCGATGTTGACTTGTAGTCGAGAGCGATGAAGCGCATCGCGTTACGTTGGATTCGCTCCATTTTGTCCACTTCTTGCTTTAAGTGTGGGTCCCAGATGATCGCACCATATTGTTGTAGTGGACGGACGAGTGCAAGATAGGCTTTTCGTTTGGGCTGCGTCTCTTCGTACCCGGGTATCAGAAGTAAGAGGTTGGGATTAAAAAACTATTCAAAATATTATTGTTGGGTTTGTAAGACAAAATGAGGTATCAAATGGAATATAATTGAATGGACTATATGGTTTTAAAATTACTTCTTCAGTTTAACTAAAATAAACTACCGACATCTGAAAAGCATTTAATCTAAATGGCCCCGGACACGCAGCGCCACCATTAGCACCCGGGTCCCAATAGACCAATGCTATTCGGATGACAATCGCAACCTCTCACTTCTGGTACCCTGGTACGAATAGCCACCGTTTCGTTTGCAGGAAGTTGGCCAGTGGCGCAGATTTCTTCGAATGAAACCAAGTGTGGAGTTAGCTTTTTTTTTAAAATTTTGTTTATATGGGGTGACCATTTTAGGTTATTTGAGAAGATAATTCAAAGGTATGGATTTTTTTATACGTGTTGGAGAATCGTCTTGTTTAGTTAGTACATATAGGTTGAGGTTTTTTTTTCTTGAGATGCTCATTGTGTAGCATTTGGTTTCATTAAATTTCATGACCCATTTTTTATTCACTAGTTAAAAATATAGTTTTGCGAGCCCCCGGTGACTGCCTTGAAGGGATATCATTAAATTCAATTTGGTTACGTTGATGACCTTTCATAAGGCTAAAAGATCTTATTTTTTCTCTCAAAGATCATTTTAATGAACATTTAACAACTACCTTTTCCTGATCTCGCTTAAAAACTGCTATTGGTGCAATTACAGAATTAATTCTGGGGCTAGGTTCCAGTTTCATTATTTTTTAATTTAATTATTTATTTATTTGTCAAATATTTTATTGACGAAAATACTTCCGCTAGTCTATTCCATGGGTTTGTCTAATTGGTCTTTTCAATGGCTTTGTTTAATGGGTCTTTTCAATTATTCTATTCAATGGTCTATTAATTTGGACAATCCACTTTGTCTCGGCCATTGGAATATTCAACGGGTCTATTCAATTGGTCTATTTAATGGGTCTATTCAAATGGCCTATTCAATGGACCTAATCACTGGGTCTATACTCTTCAATTATTTTCTCACATTTAAATGCCCCCAAAAGGTAAGAAACAAACCAGGGTAGAATTACGTGAAGGATTTTATAAAACATTACTGATACCATACAAATAAATCACATAGCTTTCCTAAGCCATCATACTTACTTCTAGTTGATTTGTTTTCGTCGATGAGCTCCTGGACTGTTTTCCCGAAGAAGCGCATACGGTTATAATGGTCAAATTCAGCTTGGGCCAATATTCTAATTGTCTCCACATTTTGATCACTGAGGTAGCTGGTGAATGTAGTCCCAAGTTGCTCTACAGGGAAACTCCATGGCTTCAGCCATAAGCAATAGATTGTAACTAAATATGTTTATTGTAAGTTTAAAAAAGCAATACTTTTTCTATTGTGGATAAAAAATTTCAGATAGACAAGTTTGTGTTCCAATTTTTTAAAATCATGAATGAACTGCTCATCATTCATTTTTTGACAAATCTGGTCATTTTGCACTAATATGTTTGACACAATGGGTCATTTACCAATAATATGTTTGACACAATGGGTCATTTACCAATAATATGTTTGACACAATGGGTCATTTACCAATACTATGTTTGACACATTGGGTGTGCTTCCATTAATTTGATTTACTGTTTAATGTAAATATCAGTTAAACATTTTTTATATTTATTTCAAAAAATGTTTAAGACTAAGATCTGGCTGGTGAAAACAATGTCCAACTCTAAAAATGTATGAAATACTTTTAAAAAAGAATCATTTTCTTTTCTTGTAATTTGTTTTTTACAGTGTAAGGGCTGTGGTAAGAAGATAGGCAATATGATATTATTTTGGTATCATATTGTTCCATAAGCTAACATCAGACAAGATGATATTGCTGTAAAAACTCACTTCTAATTGATCAAAGTGGTACATAAGATAACATCAGACAAGATATTGCTTTTAAAAACTTACATCTAGTTTTTCAGGTATAGGATACTCCCACTTGTAGTGACGGACAGGCACCATGTGTTGTGTCAGTTGCCCCAGGCAACACTTCAAATATGTGAGTATGCCATGACCTCGATGACCTAATAGGGCACTGTTCTGGGGGTGTTTTGGTTTCCATTTATAAGATGAGGTAACCTTGTTGAGATATAGACGGACATCCATTAAGTCGATGACGAAACTTAGTACAACATTCATTTAACTCATTGAAATATATCAATCTCAAATCATTAAATTTTATCAATTATCATTTTTGTATTTCATGTTTGTTAATCAATAATAATAAATGTTCAAATAATCTTCCTTATTAATGATGAATTGAAAACATCATTCCCTATTTTTTGCCTTTAGATATGTAAAAATCTTGTACAAAAATATCCATTGAAATGATTAGTGTTTGTTTGTTGACAAAGAACGAAATTATAACAATTTTATTTCAATCAAATGTTTACAATTTGTTAAGTAATAAATCTCAAACCTGGACGCCATCTTGTGAAGTCTTTCTCATTTCTTGTTTTCCCCAAGAGGAATTAATGGGCTGACCACTTCTACAAACATGAGTTGTCTCAAGGGGGCTAAATGAGTTTAGCACTTTTACTGAAATGAAGATTTGTAAGAGTTTATTTTGTAAGAGTTCATTTTATAGGTGTTATTTAATAAGAGTTCTAATGAATAACTAGTTAAAGAAGACTTTAATTTTCTTAGATGTCTTCTACCTTCTGGCGTTACCCGGAAACTCTGTAGCTGCAAATAATGGCAGAAACAGAGAAGGGATTATAATTACATGTTGCAGTTCATGGATATGACACATCCTTTGAGGAAGTTGTTCAAAGGCAACAGTTTCGTCCCAGCTACCTCGTAAATTATGTACAAGGTAGAAACTCCCTGTAGCATTCCCCTTTAGAGGGCTTCTGACGCTTCCCGGGATGGAGGGGGAAGATTTTAGGACGTAAATACACCATCCCGACTACTGGGGAAGTCAACTGCTGACACTGTGAGAGCAGCCTCACTGGCCAACCGGATGCCCTTGGACTGGGATGGTCTCCATTGGTACTCGATCGAGTGGGTGCTGGCGGTAGCTGTCCTATCAAAGGGAGAGCTCCAACGTGCAGCTTCGTTGCCCGAAATGGACCCGGACACGCATCGTCGCCATTCGCACCCGGGTCCCATTAGATTCAATGATATTTGGATGTCATTTGTGATAGTTTATTTTAGTTGAACAGAAGAAGTAAGTTTACAACCATATAGTCCATTCAATTATCTTTTATTTGATACCTCATTTTGTCTTACAAACCCAACACTAATATTTTAAATTGTTTTTAATCCCAACCTCTCACTCCTGATACCCGTGTGCGAATAGCCACATTGAATTGTAAAATGTCACGTGTGTCAAATAACAAAAAACGTTCGGCACACGATATGGCATTGCGAGTAGAGAGTACGTCTTTAATAACAATTCTTTACACCACTAAGTGTTTGTTTAGTCTAATACTTTTATACGTTAGTGTTAAGGGTATGCAGTAGGCGAAAGTTTTACTCGCTATCAAAGTGGTCCGCGAAGACTCTAATGCTTGGCACCACCGCCTACAACATGATTAACTGGTTTATACACAAGCAAACAGCCATAGCGTACAGATGGTATTCAATGGTGTTCCAGATTTGACAAGGTCTAAGACAAGAAGACTCACTCCTTTATACTTTTCAACCTCACATGACAAGAAGTGTATACGAACATTGCTCGTGTTAACACCGGGGGAACGCTAACGAATAAGTCCACAGAAATTTAAACTGATTAAAACCAAAAGAAATTGTACGAGGCCTACCGTTCCAACATCTAAGACTTGCTTATAACAAAACTTTATATGCAGCAGAAGATAAAAAAGCAAGGAGATCTTAAGAGAATATAATAAACTTGACTACTTAGAACAGCCTGTGTTAGAAATGAGTGAATCAGAGACTCAGAACTTTGATGTGCCATGAGAGACAAGTGTAGAGAAGGAGAGATAGAGAGAGAGGGAAAGGAAGGGAGGAAGAGAGGGGGACAGGGAGGGAGAGACAGAAGGAGAAGACATGGAGAGGGACAGAGAGAGGGTTAGAGAGACGGAGATGGACAGAGAGGGTGAGGGCGAAAGAGGGAGGGGAGAGAGAGATATACGTGGTATAACATCAAGATATAAAAAGACATACGTTTGAGAGCAGACTTATATTATAATCTAACAGCTCCAATACACGAGCACACTGGAAAGATAAAAATAAGCAGATCAATTTAGATTAGGCCTCCACAACTCAAAATGTAAGCCGGGCTGTAATACTTTATAAAACTTGTGTGTGCTAAATGAAAATAGGACCCGGGGGGGGGGTATAAAGAAAATAATAAGAATAAAGAATATTTCGTTACTTCGCGAGCCTCAAAGTGGGTGCCGGTGGGCCGTATGTTGTGTAGGCCTGATCTAGATAGTCACAAAGAATTTTTTTAAACTTAAATCTGAAAATTTGAAATCGACTACTTCATCCAGAGACATGGACCGATACCTACAATGTCAAAATCTGTACCATATTTACTGTGGAATGTGAATCTCTCAGTCTGTTGTTCTGACTTATTCAGGAAAGTGATGGATGCGAGTACCCAGTGCGCACCCACAAATAACTTGATCAAATTTATCAAGATCAAACCAAAGTATTGAAAGTGGACGGCATGGGCGGGCACCCCGAGAGCCACCGAGAGGATGCAGGCCACCAAGTGAGTCAAGGCGTTTCACAGCAAGGAATGCGTAGATGATGTGGAGCCAGGGTGCAGGCCACCTAGTGAGTCAAGGCGGTTCACAGCCAGAAATGCGTACATGACGAAGAGCAAGATTTCGCCCCACCAGGGTTTTGGATTTGATCCATGTATTGTTGTTGCTGGTGTCAATTAATTATTTATAGTAACAGTGAAGCTATTCGTTTTTTAAAACATTTTATGATAATGGCGATACATTTGTTTTTAGCTTAATACTAAAATTTAACGCTTGCATGATAATAAAATACTAATTCAAGTTAAAATATAGTTAACTAGCTGGAAAAAATATGTTAATTATATCATAAATAAGTGTAAATAGTTTTAAACAATTTTGTTAACCAGAATCAATGTTACCATCGAACACATCGTGATGCCTTGGGTATGAATGGACCTTGTTCAGACTGCATGTAACTGATTGCCAGCTCACACGTGCGGCTGGAGTGACCAGATACTTTATAGGTGTGGCTCCTAGTCGAGACAGCAGCTGCATGTTCGCCATTGCTATCTTCTTTCAGGAAATGGATTCTGTTGTGAACAGCGACGTGAAAGACTTTAGAATTAGAGATTAATGTGACGTCATTGGTAGTGCGTGGTTTCGAAGTTTTTTGCTAGGAGAGGTAAACATGGAACAAACAAATAGATACAGAAGGCACCAGTAAAAACAGTACTCCAAATTCCACATCTTAAACACGTATATGCTTTCGTATATTTGTTCGTCAACGGTGCATGGCCCAGGTATCCACGGGTTCCCAGAAATCAAACAGAAGATATGTTGGATAGTTCGGTCTCTCAACGGAGGAATGAGTAGTCCTAGTTGAGTCTTATTTTTGCTCCTAGTAGTGTTTGTGAATGGGGATCACAGCTTGAACATTTTATCAGAACAATATCCGGAAGAGATTTTTTAAGGCGACACTAAGTAACACAGTTAAGCAGTATATTGTTGCGAAATCTCAACACCTCAGAAAGATACCTTGTCATCAGAAATTGGGGTTTGTGTTAGACCATTAAGAGAATTCGCCTTTCATCAGCGACTACACATTCCAACAAATTTAAAGCCTAGCACATAATGGGACACGTGTTCCACATTACACCGTTCTGGTCGGCATATCTGGCTCGATCAAGTGTGGACCACAGACCCGGATTTACTGTAAGATAAATAATCTAAAGCTTATGGCATCAATAAACTTTAGCATAGGACCTCAATAAGATCTAGCATAAGGCCTCTATAAGCTACAGCTTAGGGCCTCATTAAGCTAAAGCTTAGGGTCTCATTAAGCTAAAGCTTAGCGTCTCATTAAGTTAAAGCTTAGCGTCTCATTAAGCTAAAGCTTAGGGTCTCATTTAAGCTAAAGCTTAGGGTCTCATTAAGCTAAAGCTTAGGGTCTCATTAAGCTAAAGCTTAGCGTCTCATTAAGTTAAAGCTTAGCGTCTCATTAAGCTACAGCTTATGACCTCAATAAGCTTACGCTACGGGCCCCAGTAAGCTACAGATTGGGTCCTCAATACGATCAAGATTAACATACTTATTTGAAACCAAACTGTAGTCATCATGGTGAGACATCTTAATACGACAATTGTATAGGCCTGCATTTTCATAAACGGGAAATAAACCCCCAAAATTTTTACACAACGTCAAGGTTGAGAACACTTCCATGCCATAGTTAAATAATAGATTGCAAGAATCCATTAGTGCGTCTTATAGTGTTTGTCAAACTTTTAAGTTTTGATGGACTTGATAACACGCATACCATGGCACCACAGGCCAGTGCCAGATATTTAAATTTTTTTTAAACCTAAAATGTTTCATACATTAAAATGCAAACTCAAATATCTATGCCAATTGAAGCATCGACATGTTCTGTATCGCCTCAAGTATCTACAGGTCTTTCTTCTATGCAAACTCAAATCTATGCCCATTGAAGTATAGACATGTTCTAAGGCACTGCCCAGCCACATCCTGATAAAGTCATAACCCAGCTGCGAGTCACAGCTTGGTTGAAAGACCACTTTCGTGAAAAGTGGCTAAGCGATTGTGCCGCAGGAGAAACTGGACGACAGCATCATTTGAAGATGCCGCGACCGAGCAAGAGTGACCACTGGTTGAGACTAAAGCGAGGCTAGCAGAGCCTGATCAACCTGATGAGGACAGGCCATTACGCGACGAGCAGAGCAGCTACCTTCTTAGATTTGACGACAGAGGGAACCAACCTTCCGATTTTGTGGCGAGAAAGAAGAAACAGTGGCTCATCTGGTGGTTGACTGCCCTGGCAGTGGGAAGTGGGCAGAGGGTCGGGACCCAGAGACATGCCTTGAAGACATGGTTTACGAAGACGTCCACCAGATAAGACACACCGCCACAATATTAGCCAGTGCTTTAAGAGATTAATCTCAGCCCAAAAGAGGATTTAACGTTATTAAATAACCTCAAATATCTTCAGCTCAACATATCTATGCCCACTGAAGTATCGACATGTTCTATATTACCTCAAAACGTCTGGTTGTGAAACAAAGAAAATAAAAGGCATTTCAACAGTGAACATTTGCCAGATGTGAAATGATAGAAAACAAACATTATAAAAACCCAAACATATTTAAATGGGATAATTTGTTTTTAATCCAATGATTAAACAGGTTTGCAGTTTTTAGCCTTGGCTCCAAAGCTTACCCTTACTTTGCTGCATAGGGCAAGTATATATATCAAATGTTGCAATAACTTGGAACAGAAAGATTGGTTAATTATTGCACAGGTAATGCCTTATATGGCCAGGAGCAAAGTTTCAGGACCTGGTCATTGGGAGTGTTTAATGTAATCACATTTGTTTCTAATTAGATATTAGGTTATCTCGTCTTTACAATATGTTCATGTTTATGGTTTTCAAATTAATGTTAATGTCAAATGCCATGTACATGTACATACTATTCAATGGCAAATACCTTGTACATATATCATCTTTCAATGCCGTGTACATATTTCATTTGTACAAAACCTTTTACAAATATTTGACATATGTCAAATACCGTGTACATATTTAATATGCCAAATAAATTATACATTATATTTAATTTTACATACCTTGTAAATATTTAATGTCAAATCCCTTGTTATAACAGTGTTAAATTGCTATAAAGCTTAAAAATAGATTAGACATAAACAATTTGTTTAATACAACAATATATGTTAAGCTTTAATAATAATTTTGCATAATACACAAGTAAACGTTGCGGCACATGTCTTCATCAGTCAGTATAACATTCATTTTTACTTTGTTTCGGTCTGGTTTTTGCAACCATTCCTTTTTTTCTAAGGTAATATATGGCTATATATTATGTAAATTTAATTTATTTACATTTTTTAATATTTCATTTATACAATACCATGTACATATTTAATTTGTGAAATTCCTTGTACATTGTATTCAATATGTCAAATACCTTTCACATATTTCAGTTTTACAATACTTTTTTTAAAAATAAACCTATGGAAATGCATCAAAATAATTGTTTTTTGGACATAGGCTTCAATTGAGGCTTTTTGCCTAGGTGCATATGTCAATACAACTCCAGGACCCCAAACCAAGGGTGACCTGAGCTGTTCACTTGACAAAGTCAGGATATCCTCGTGGAAAATGGCAAAGACCCAGATTTATGTCAAGGTATCCATTTATCTTAGCTTATTAAAGATATATGGTGTGAGGAAATTAATTTCATTTTTCCTCTAAAAAATGCTGAGAAATTCAGAAACAATTATCGCTAAGTAAATCAAATACTTATTGTTAAATCATTTGTATCGTTAAAAGTATCAATAGCGCTGACATCAATTAAGGATTAAAAAATAATGTACGGAAAATAAAAACAATTTTTAATGCTCTCTCCATTTCTACATCAGTATTATCCAACATTCATGGGAAGGAAATAACGCCCTTCATGTTGTATGAAAGAATCCAACTTCAGGCCAAAGATTCTGAGTAAAGAAATTATCTAATTTTATTTTTTTTTTAAATTAAAGACAAAGTGAATTTAGCAATGAATCATTTTATCTAATCTCTTTATGCAATATTAGGTAAAGAATCCAACTTCAGGCCAAAGATTCTGAGTAAAGAAATTATCTAATTTTATTTTTTTTTTAAATTAAAGACAAAGTGAATTTAGCAATGAATCATTTTATCTAATCTCTTTATGCAATATTAGGTAGAACCCTAGCAAAGCTATAGGTAAATCCATTAATAGGTACGACTGTACCATATGTTAAAGTTCTGAATAGATGTATTTTTTAAAATGTTTTTCAGTCAGCAGACTATTTTAGTCAAGATGCACATGCCCAATGCCACTGACCTAAAGTATGCCCCTGGAGATCATGTGGGTATATTCCCTGCCAACTCTCCAGATATTGTGGATGCGATTCTTGTTAGGTTGGACACAACTATAGGACCAGATCAAGTAATAAGAACAGACATATCCACACAGCTTGGTAAATGGATTTTATCCCAACATTGTGTAGCTTGTCTGCACTCTTCATGCATTGTGATTGTACTGCCTCTTTTGGCATGTTTTATTGAAAATTAATATTTTTATTGAAATAGAAAAATTATTTGAAGGAACAAGTCTCTTCAGTGTGGTCAAACACAAAATGTATTTAATCAATTATTCGTTTCATAGCACTCAAGTAGTCTAATAATAACTTTCAGCTTCCCATAATATTCTAACTATTTTTTAATCATCCCAATTTTAAAGAAAATTTAATCAGATACAATATTATTTGAACATTACAGAAGGAACCAATGAAACTTGGAGAAGCCACGAGAAGTTGCCCAATTGTTCTTTGCGTACAGCTTTCTCATTTTTGTTAGATGTGACCACTACTCCCTCACAAGAAATACTGCAGGTGTTGGCCAGTCAAGCCTCAAGTGACATGGACAAACATAGACTTCAACTCTTAGCTACGGTGAGGTTTATCAAAATTCATTTTCCCTTTTAAAGTAAATTTTTGTTGGGATTTTCGAAAACATAAAATGAGGATGGGGTGGGGTAACAATAATAAAATTGAACACCTCCCCCCCCCCAATGGGGTTACCATTAAAACTTTCAATGATACCAAACATTATATTATTTAAATATTTTTTTCAACTTGCGAACCCACAAAAAAAAAGAAGAAAAACTTGTATGTGTTGTAATAATTTACTACAAACATTTAAATGATTCATATCTTGTACGGGTACCTTCAAAATTACAGCCTCAAGACATTTTCCCAACTAGATCATTGACCCTGGCAGTCAAAGTTTTCTCGCTGTTACCCATTTATCAACATACCAAACACAACTACGCATAACACTAGGTGACTGCCAACTACAAAAATTTAAAACTTTCATTCAACTGTTTCGACTGTATAATGTTACCCACTACACATGCCTCTAAATGTAATATTCTTACCATATCAAAATAATTTTACAGCACTGTCCATATTCCTTGACCTTTGTTCTTATTTCATACCTGATCGCAACATATCACCTTAGTCATCTGTGACAGACTCTACAGTTAGACATAGCCTACCTTTTGACCTCATGCTTCAAAATTTGGACCAGCCATTAGCAGTGTACAACAAAATTCGGCCCAGCCATTTGCAGTATACAAATACATACTCTTTTAATTAAATATTGTATGTTAAGTTATAACACTATTGAAAGCCTCATAGGACAATATTAAAAAAACAATTCCTAGGAGATTACGATTTTAAACATTTATTACAGAAAATAGAATATTATATTCAGTTTATCTTTAGCAACTTACACACCCCAACTGATTCTTTCAAGAATGGTCGAAATTCTCCTATTTTTGGGATGGAATTAATAGATGCCCCCTAAGGGTTATGAGCACGCCTGCACAACTCAAAATGTAAGGTGGGCTGTAATATTTTATGAAAAACTTGCACAGGCCAAAAGAAAGTAGAACAGGACTTGTGTGGGCCAAAAGATGATAGAACAGGGAGGAAAGCTATTGAGAAAATGATAATGATAAAGAATATTTCGTTACTTTGCGGGCTGCAAAGCGAGTGCTGGCTGGCCGCATGCGGACCGTAAGGTGTGCAGGACTGGTTATGGTATAGCAATTAAAAAACAAAAAGAATATTATATCTTAAATGGACTTCAACTGTTTAGGGCAAGCATAGTAGTTAAAATTATAATTTTGTAAATGTCATCTTATTGTACTCTATACAGCTTGACATCTAAAATACTTAAAACCTTTTCATGTTACCTTCCAAATTTTCAAAACAATGTTAAACAGATAACTACCCTGACTGATTCCCCTCCTCTGACCGATAAACGATCTTGCTGGCTGCCGTCCATGGTTGCCTTGTAAAAGTTATGTGGTGGGGTGGGTGAATATACATTGCTGTTCTTTATTTCATAAATGTATTTTATTTTAATGTCATGATTATGTCTCTTTTGATAAAATTTCTATGTACAGCGTGGTGAGCCCAGCCCTAGGCTGGGGTACCACGCTATATGACGTATTATTATTATAAACATGTGGTTTTTTACCGCTTTAATTTCTTCCTTAGAATTCAGAGGCTTATGAAAAATGGCGACTGGACCTGAGCCCCAATATCCTAGAAATTTTGGATGAGTTCCCTTCCCTCAAAATTCCACCCTCACTTCTGCTGACCCAGCTGCCGTTGCTGCAACCTTGCTACTACAGCATTAGTTCATCCCAACAGAAAAACCCCAACGACGTTCATGCCACCATTGCTGTTGTCAGGTTTAAAACCCACGGTAAAACAAATCTGATAAAATCCTCTTTGTAATCAAAAATTTGTTATGACCATTAAAATGTGTAAATCTGCAATATTATTTCAACGTATTTTGACATTTAAACATTTTCGTAGACGGTGATGGTCCAGTTCATGAAGGAGTGTGCTCGTCATGGCTGAACAGAAGCCCCATAGGAACTGTAGTGCCTTGTTTTTTGAGATCGTAAGTAATTTTTAAAAAAACGAAAATTATATTTTATCAAAATAACAGAAACATTTAATAGATTAAACGAAATGTAAAAATGTAGACTCCACTAAAATGTCAAAGTATGCACCTTTATGTTCAATTGGATAACTTATTTTTTTTAAATTGAATCACTAATAATCTTCCTTTTACAGGTATATTCAGTAAGACCTATTTGTTTTTAATATGTAACCTATTGTTTCTGGTCCTAAGAGCACAAAACTATGTAACCTATTGTTTCTGGTCCTTAAGGCACCAAATTGATATGTAACCTATTGTTTCTGGTCCTTAGGGCACCAAACTGATATGTAACCTATTGTGTCTGGTCCTTAAGGCACCACACTTTCACCTTCCAGAAGATCCCTCCCTGCCTATTATAATGATAGGACCAGGTTCGGGGATTGCACCTTTTAGATCATTTTGGCAGCAAAAATTGGGAGAAATTGAGAACACCATGCCTTCCTGTGAGAGCACCATGCCTTCCTGTGAGAGCACCATGCCTTCCTGTGAGAATACCATGCTTTCCTGTGAGAGCACCATGCCTTCCTGTGAGAGCACCATGCCTTCCTGCGAGAGCACCATGCCTTCCTGTGAGAGCACCATGCCTTCCTGTGAGAGCACCATGCCTTCCTGTGAGAGCACCATGCCTTCCTGTGAGAGCACCATTCCGTCTTGTGAGAGCACCATGCCTTCCTGTGAGAGCACCATGCCGTCATGTGAGAGCACCATGCCTTCCTGTGAGAGCACCATGCCGTCTTGTGAGAGCACCATGCCTTCCTGTGAGAGCACCATTCCGTCTTGTGAGAACACCATGCCTTCCTGTGAGAGCACCATTCCGTCTTGTGAGAACACCATTCCGTCTTGTGAGAGCACCATGCCTTCCTGTGAGATCAACATTCCGTCTTGCGAGGGCACCATTCCGTCTTGTGAGAACACCATTCCGTCTTGTGAGAGCACCATGCCTTCCTGTGAGAGCACCATTCCGTCTTGTGAGAACACCATTCCGTCTTGTGAGAGCACCATGCCTTCCTGTGAGATCAACATTCCGTCTTGCGAGAGCACCATTCCGTCTTGTGAGAGCACCATTCCGTCTTGTGAGAGCACCATGCCTTCCTGTGAGAGCACCAATCCGTCTTGTGAGAGCACCATTCCGTCTTGTGAGAGCACCATTCCGTCTTGTGAGAGCACCATTCCGTCTTGTGAGAGCACCATTCCGTCTTGTGAGTGCACCATTCCGTCTTGTGAGAGCACCATGCCATCTTGTGAGAGCACCATTCCGTCTTGTGAGAGCACCATGCTGTCGAGGGTATGAGAATCACTGTTGTTATGTTTGATAGGGAAAAGATGTTAGTTCGAGATTTTATGTGCAGCCGTATCGTTTGTGTGAGAGTGTTGTGACGTAATTGTGTAGTTGGGAAGTGACGCGTTAGTTTGAGTGTGGTTAGAGATGAGTGATGGCGGATGTGCTACATTGACTGTTGTGATTTGAATACTGCTAAGTGTTTTGCTGAGAGAATTGATGGGGAATATACTGGCAGAAGTGTTTGGATTAGAAAATTGATTAATATTTGGTTGGAGTGATTTATTATCAAATTCTGAAATTATACATCAAGTCTTGTTCATCGAGTAGTGATAAATAAACTTTCGTTTACAACAAACCGGTTGCTGTTTGTTGCATTGGTGACTGTTTGTGTATGATGTACTGCTGAACGGAATGCAGTGAAAAACTTGGCCATGCAGGAGAATCGCTTCGCGACATTGGGGGCTCGTCCGAACGAAGCTGTTAAGTATCATCCTCGTCCGATCATAGAATCATCCTGTCTGAAGCTGTGAAGTGTCAGTCCTGTCCGAATTATCATCCCTGTCCGGTGCTGGGCAGTATCATCTCCGCCGAGCCTGTGTGTCGCCGCCTGAAGCTGTGTGTCGCTGTCCGACACAGGAGTATCAACCTCTACGGGGCTGTGAACATCGACCGTCCGTTGTGTGAGGCATCATGGCACATCTGTCTGAGGCTGTGTGTCGCTTGTCCGAAGTCGTCTGAGGTGCTCGTCGTGTGTCTCCTGTCCCAGCTGAGGCAACCGTGCAATGCTGTGACCCGCTGATTGGTGTGTTCCACTGAGCTTTACACCACTGTTGCTGTACACCTCGGTAGCTATTCAACGCTGTTGCAGTACACTGCTGCTGATGTGTCCTGCTGATTGCTGTGTCCTGCTGATTGTTGTGTCCCACTGATTGCTGTGTCCTGCTCTTTGCTGTGTTTCGCTGATAACTCTATTCCGCCGGTTGCTTTACACCGCTGTTTGCTGTGTCCCCCCTGTCATTGGCACGAAACAAACCATCTACGACCAGATCGTCACTGTGCCTCATCCAGACCATCGCCGCACCTACAACCGGAGCGCCTCTGCATCTACAACCAGATCCACACAGTGCCTGCTACCGGGTCAACAAAGTAGGCCCAATTAGACACCATTAACTAAAACTGTGACATTCTTATATTGTGTGTTTTCGATACAGGTCAAGTCAAGCACAGTTAAGTAACATGTTAAGTACATAAGTATTATTATTATAGTTATTTTAGATTATAGTATTTATCTTATATTGAGAAAAGCTGTACAGTATTTGAACATATACATTTGTAGGGTTAAATTATTACACATGGAATCTAAGAGAACCATATCGGAAATTATAGCCGAAATTCGGGAGGTGGGAGAAAAGGACCTCAGATTTACGGGACAGGAGTTAGATACATATGTAAGGGAGCAATGGGGGAAAATACATGAAAAGGAGCGAGAAGAAAAGAGAAGAATGGAAGAAAAAAAGCGAGAAGAAAAGAGAAGAATCGAAGAAAGGGAATATGAACTTAAGAAGTTAAAAATAGAAACAGATAAAAAAAATTGAATTAGACAAAATAAAAAATGGGGTCACACTAGGTAATGGTGACCAAACAAGACCC